ACAAGGGCTTAACTTCCAGAATATACAAATAGCTCATACAACTCAATAGCAAAAAACCCCACACAGCCCAATCCAAAAATAGGCAGAAGACCTAAAGAGACATTTCTCCAGTGAAGCCATACAGATGGCCAATGGGCTCATGGAAAGATGCTCAATATCGCTAACTATTAGAGAAATGCAAATCAAAACTGCAGTGAGATACCACCTCAGCCTGGTCAGGATGGCCATCATTAAAAAGTCTACAAACGATAACTGGAGAGGCTGCGGAGAAAAGGGAACCCTCCCACAGTGCTGGTGAGAATGTAATTTGGTGCAGCTCCTATGGAAAACAGTATGGAGGTTCCTTGAAAAACTACAAGCAGGCTTACCATCTGATCAATCCCACTCCTGGGCACTATCTGGAGGGAACTCTAATTCGAAAAGATACATGCACCCCAGTGTTCAGAGCAGCACTTTACAGTAACCAAGACCTGGAAGCAACCTAAACGTCCATGGGCAGATGACTGGATAAAGAAGTTGTGGTATATACATACACAATGGAATACTACTCAGCCATAAAAAACAACGAAATAATGCCACTTACAGCAACGTGGATGGACCTAGAGATTATCGTACCAAGTGAAGTAAGTCAGACAGAGAAAGACAAATACCATATGGTATCTCTTATATGTGGAAACCAAAAAAATGACACAAATGAACTTATCCACAAAACAGATACAGACTTATAGTTACCAAAGGGGAAAGGGTGGGGGAGGGATAAATTAGGAGTTTGAGATTAGCAGATACAAACTTATATATACAAAACAGATAAACAAGGTCCTACTGTAGAGCACAGAGAACTATATTCAACAGCTTGTAATAACCTATAATGAAAAAGAATATATATGTGTGTGTATGTGTATAATTGAATCGCTATGCTGTACACCAGAAACTAACACAACATTGTAAATCAACTAGACTTCAATTTAAAAAGTCAGAATTGGAGACCTCTTGTTGGTGTCCTATATTATCATTTTAAACCTTTACAGTTGCCCATTACATAGTAATCACTCTTATTTTATAGATCTTCATTGAGGTTAAAATTTTTTAATGGTACATCCAAAGACTTCACTTTATTTAATGCATCCAACACCTGCTTTGATGTAGGTATTTCCCCCCCAGCACTTTACAGATAAGAAGTTAAGTGATATATCTAAGATCATCAAGTAGGTACTGGAACCAGTGCACAGAGATTTTTGATATTTAATTACATCCATCATGTCAAGACCAAAATTTAAACTGCAGTTCATCTAAGTCTAAGAACTTAACCTTTTTCCAATAAATTACTCTTTGGCAATAAGTTTCTTTGTCCTTTTCTTAAAAGGCATCCAAGCAGTACAAAGGCTTAAATGGTTCTCCAAATGCTGCTTTCTGCCCATGTCTATGGTTTCATCTCCCACCACCCCATCTTTGTATTTCATACTTTATCAAAGGTTAATTATTTGTACCTCCCAAATATTCCCAGATTTTTACCATTCTCTGTGTTTTTGCATGCCAGCTCTGCCTTCTGTCCAGAATGTCTTCATCAACTCTGTTTGCCTTCCTGCTAAATTCCTATTCATCCTTTCAAACCCAGCTCAAATATGACCTCCTCCATGAAGCCCTCCCTCCAGAGTTCAAATACATATTCATTATATACCCTTAGACTTGCATCATCATTATTTTTTATGCTTTCTGTGGGTTTGGTTTTTAATAAAAGGAGATATGCCAGAGAACTGTGTATCCAAATACAGAAATTAAAATGGTGATTGAACAATTTGAGAAAACTTAAATATATTTGGAAAGTCCAGAAAAAGTCAGACTAGTACAAAGCTCAAACTTCTACACAGTACAAGAATAATTTAACAGTTTTGCAAACATGGTCATTCAATTTCTAGCTGAGATTTTCCAGTGATAAGGGACTTTCACATCTTAATATTTCTTCTACTACAATTCTGATGATTGGAAGTCTTTTTTATTGAAGTGTAATTGATTTACGATGTTATGTTAGTTTCAGGTGTACAACCTAGTGATTTGGCATTTTTATAGATTATGCTCCATTTGAAGTTACTATAAAATACTGGTTATATTCCCTTTGCTTTATCTTACATCTTTGTATCTTATTGTTTTGTTCCTTTGCTGTCTCCCCTGCTGGACTCAGAGCTCCATGGCTGCAGTGCCCCAGTATTTTCATTTGTGCATCCTCAGTTTATGTCCTAGTCTCTAACACACAATTATTAACAAGCATTTTCAGAATTAAGTTAAACTGGGTCAAATCTGTGGCACTGATGTATCCAACCTCGAACTAAACTCACCAGCATTTTATGAGGGAAGGAGAAGTGGTAATATCTAGTTGGTAACCATTTGACAAAGATCCGATTAAGACAGGGAAGCCCATGGCAACCCCATCTGGTTCTTTCTCTAAAGAAGCAAATATTTCATCCCTTGTGTAACAAGAAATAAGGGCACAAGTCGGATGACTGGGAAGTCGGCAAAGTTGAACGTACCTCTAAGACCAGCAGACGTGGATGCCAAGGGGACATGGACTGTGGTACCTCCACGTACTGCTTCATTGGGTATCTTTGTGATGCTCTTCACAATGCCATCCGTCCCTGCAGATGAGGGTAGGGAAGAAACCTAGGGTAACTCATCTCATCCAGAAGGAGAACATGGTCTAGATGGATCCATTTAATTTCACTACACAACTCAGTTCTTTTCAACCATCCGTATGGACTGGAGCCGGGGCTGTGGGCCATGAGTGACCACACCCATCCATAGATCCATCCACCCACCTGTCCACCCTCCATCCATTCCTTACTTTGATCTATCCATTTATTCTTCCATCCATCCTTCCTTTTATCCTTTCTTCCTGCCATGCCTCTTTCATTTCATATTTCCTCTCTCCTTTCTTTTCAACTTCTCATCCCTATTTCCTTCAATCCTCCCTTCCATCCATCTTCCTTATTTTCATCCTTCCTTCTGTACATCCATCTTTCTTCTTTCGTTTATCTGCCACTCCATTCTTCCTTTCTTCCTTCCTCCCATCCAACCACAACCCTACATTCTTGCCGTCCCACTCATCACTTGCTTACTGAGCACCCATCACTCGTTACCGAGTCATGTTTTTAAGACATGGGTCCAGAGCCATCAACGTGTCTAACTTTACTGTGAATTGTTAACACTAGTTTGAGAAGGAACGAAACCATCCTCCTGTCCGTACTGTCTAGTGAAGCAGGGGCTGGAGTACCTGGAGGGTCTTGTTGGATTTGTGTCCAGAACAAAATCTGGGGCCAAATTCAACTTATTCGAGGAATGGATCCCCCAGGAAGTCCCGTCCTTCTCCACTGTTCTTCTGGAGGTGGTGCTTCTCCTCCTGGGTCCCAGGCACTTCCCACATCCAGAGGGACTTTGTCCTTTCAATTATCATTCGCTCACCTTTTCCCTTCGCATTTCCCTTGCTTTGGACTTTGTTCTCAATATACAAACATGCTCAGTTTAAAGGGGGAACCCCTCCTTGTATCTGTGTATTCTTTTATGTGTTGTTTCAACCCTCTGACACACACTGATGTTCCCTTCATCAGACTCCCTGAAGACCCACATGTTGTCAAAGAATTTCTCACCTCATTTCATCTTGGCTGTTCTGTTGCACTTGACAAAGGGGACCTTTCCTCCTTCCTAAAACTCTCCCGTCTCATGGCTTCTGTGATGCCAGCATCTCGGGCGTGTTCCCCTGACTCTCTGACCACTCCTGCCTCGTCCGCTGGTCCAGGGCACGGGCTCTCAGTGCCATACAGTATGAGCTCTTATCACTTACCAGCTTTGTGACCTTGAGCAAAGGCTAAGAAATTACTTAGCCTCTCTCTATCTCAGTTTACTCCCTTGTAAAATGGGCTTATAATAGTCCTTTCTCCAGTTGTGTTCCACGGAGGATTAAATAACTAATAGAACAGCATTTGACACAGAATAAGTGTTCTATAAATATTTGTTATTGTCATCGTCAGCATTAGCAGTGATGTTAGAACATCTCTAACTATAATTATAATTATTCAGCCGCTTGCTTACTTAGCTTGGTTTCCCCCAGTGCCTATCTCAGTGCCTGGAAATGAAGAGAGATCGACACGTTTGCGAGAAGAATTTCTCGTGTTCCTAGTTGCTTCCTTTTTACCTCCCAGGAAAGAAGCCATTTCCTACGAGGCCCAAATAATGAGGTTGTAGGAGCGTGGGTCCTTACTTGTCAACCGTGTTGAGTGTGGAAGAACTTGAGAAGAACTTGTCACTGGTCCCAAGCCAACACTGTCTGTCATTCTGGTATCCACCATGGGCGACAGAGATGTCCTGAATGGCTGGGTCCAAGTCTTCAAAGTACTGACCATAACCAACGGTCCCTTGGCAGTGCTGCTCTCTGCCTTGAGGCTGGAGTCTGCTGCACGTGGGGCAGCTGGTGGGGAAGTGAGCCAGCGGGGGAGAGGGCTGGTTGAAGCATCACTGGTAGATAAGATTGAAGAGGGGGATGCTGTTGAAGAAAGCAGCGTCTCTGCCATGGTGGACAGAGCAGCACCCTCAGGGCCTGATTCTGTCCTAGAAAATGGACTGACTGACAAGGTGGCTGAGGTGGCACCTGCAACTCCAGATGTGGCAAAGGAAGCCATGGCCTCCAACGGAGACGATGTCAGTGCGTTAGCAAGAATGGTCTCAGCTGAAGACAGCATATCTGTGCTTGCATGATGAGTACTTTCTGTGACAGGCACAGAAAGATGAGATGTTGGGACAGCTGTGCCAGCAGACCCTGCAACAGAAGGAGAACCATAAAATCGTGTGACTGTTTCCACTGGAATCTGAGTATCTTGTGAAGGTAGAGGCTGATCTGGGACTGATAATTTCACAGGGGAGGCAGCGTCAGTCTCAGGACTCCTCCAAACATGAGTGGACACAGGAGACGAAGGTGTGCTTGTGAGTGTCTCTGAGCCGGAAGCCAGGGCTGTGCTGGTCTCACTTAGTCTAGGAGTCAGACGGGAAAGTGTCTTGGTGTCAAATCCTGTGGTCGTAAAGGAAGAATGCATTGATGTGGAAAAAGAGGTCTCACCCAGAGTGGACGCAGTACCAACAGGATATGTGGGGCTAGATGACTCGGAGAAAACTGGCACAGAGGAGCTTCGATCATGTCCAGAACTGCTGGAACCTGCAGTGGTCACTGTCGTGTATATGGAAGGAAGAACTTTGGCTGAACCTACGGAGAATTCGGAAGCAGAAAGCATCTCAGCTTTGGTACTATTCAGAGTGGGAGGTAAAGTGGCTGCTGGTTCCAAAATTGTGCCAAATGGCTCTGTGGTCTTCACCAGACCAGGCGTGCGATGTGAGGTCCCAGGGCTAGGAGAGGCGGGGCTCCTCCCTGGGAGTGTGGAGGACTCGGGGGCGGGTGACGTCCCGGCAGGTAAGGGCACTGGGGAGGATGGAGAGCTGGTTGCTTCACCAGAGGAAGGACCTCGGCTCATGAGAGTGGTCAGGGGTGATTGTGTCAAACTCTGAGTCACAGCTGAGTGAGTTCCTGCCACAGAGGCTTTAGGTAATGCATCCAAGGTACGTGTGACCTGTGATGTAGCCCCAGGGGCACCTGTTTGGGTGGTGATGGTCATTTCTGCAGATGCTGTCCTGACAGAGGAGGTAGAGGACCTGGTGACAATGCCTGCAGGGGTGTCTGGTGACATCGAGGACTCAACAGGACCAGGGATGGATGTCCTGCTTGAGGTGATGGGTTCTGTCCTAGAGACCTCTGTAGTAATACCAGTGGGCACTTGGGAAATGACAGTGACGTCCTGTGTGGCTGAGCTGTTCTGCTGGATGGTGCTTGTCTCCCTCAGTTCAGGGGTCAGAGAGGTTGTGGAGTCTGTTTCAATGGTTGTGGTTACGGAAGAGTGAGGTATTGATGTGGAAACACTGGTGTCGCTAGAGGTGGAAAAAGTGAGCGCTGGAGACATGGCTATGGATGGCTCCGAGTCAGCTGGGGCAGAGGAATGTGTTTCACGTCCAGAACCTGTGTTGATCCCATTGGTCACAGCTGTGTTTTCAGAAGGGCGAACTGCCTCTGTGCCTGTGGGGGCTTCAGAAGTGGACAGCATCTCAGTGTTGGTGCTGATCTGACTTGAAGGTGAACTGGTTCCAGGTTCCAAGCTGGTGCTCACCATGTCTGTGGTCTTCGCCAGGCTATGGGTGAGAATTGAGGTCGCAGGGGTAGGAGAGGAGGGGCTCCTCCCGGGGAATGGGGAGGACTTGGGGGAAGGTGACATCCTGGCAGGTAAGGGCACTGGGGAAGATGGAGAGCTGGTTGCTTCCACAGAGGAAGGGTTTGTCCAATACACAGCCCCAGGACCTTGGCTCATGAAAGTGGTCAGTTCTGAGGGTGTCAAACTCTGAGTCACAGCCGAGTGACTTCCTAACCTGGAGGCTTCGGTTGATGTGTCCAAGGGAATTGTGCCCAGTGATGTGGCCCCAGGGGGACCTGCTTGGGTGGTGATGTTCATTTCTGCAGATGCTGTGCTGACAGAGGAGGCAGAGGGCCTGGTGACAATGCCTGCCAGGGTGTCTGGTGACACTGTGGACTGAACGGGGCCTGGGGTGGGCATGCTGCTGGGAGAGGTGGGTTCTGCCCGAGAGACCTCAGTCAGAGAATCAGAGGGCTCTTTGGAAAGAACTGTGATTTTGTCTGTGGCTGAGCTGTTCTGCTGGATGGTGCTCGTCTCCTTCAGTTCAGGGGTCAGAGAGGATGTGGAGTCTGTCTGAATAGTCACAGTCTTAGAAGAGTTAGTCAGTGATGTGGAAACAGTGTTTCTATTGGTGGAAGAAGTAACCAGTGAAGACTGTGGGAATCCTTGAGTCACAGCCACGTGAGTTCTTGTTAAGGAGGCTGTGGCTGATTTTTCCAAGGTGGGTGCTGCCCGTGGTGTAGTCCCGGAAGGACCGTTTTGCATGGTGATGGTCATTCTTTCAGATCCTCCCATGGCAGGGAGGGTGGAAGGCCTGGCCATGTCTGATGATGCTGTGGATTGAGCCAGGGCTGGAATGGAAATTCTGTCAGAGGTAGTGCCTTCTGTCCTGGACCCCCTGGAAATGACAACAGAACCTGGGGAATGGACAGCGCTCATCTCTGTGGTTGAGTTGGTGTCCGTGTAAGTACTGGACTCCCCCAGCCCAGTGGTCATGGGGTGATTCAGCTCTGTTCCAGCCCTTGTGGATTCTGGCCCGGTGGTGGTTACAGTGGGAACAACAGCCTTCACCGTGATGGAGGTAGCATTCTTTGGAGATGTGCCCATAGATGGCTCCGAGTGGGCTGCGACAGAGGAATGGAGATCACGCGCAGAACCTGTGGACCACACTGTTGTATCTACGGTGTCTGTAGCTGGGCGAGTTGCCTCTCTGCCTGTAGCAGGTCCAGAAGTGGCTATTCTCTCACGTGTGCTCTTTTTCCAACTTGGAGATGACGCTGTCTCAGCTTCTAAGCTTACACGCCATAGATCTGTGGTCCTTAAGAAGCCTGGGGAGTCAGTAACCTCCTTGATGGTCCCTCCTGAGAGAGAGACAGGCATCACTTCAGTGCTCAGAGACTTGCCTGAGTTGGGTTCTTCTTCCCCCATCCAGGAATGAGAGGCAGCTCTCGCCTCTGTGGTAGGAGTCCTCCGTCCATTCCCCTGGGGAGTGGGATCTGGAGTTCT